AGGGCATCAAAGGATCTGTCAATTCGGGAAGGCTGAGACCTCCAATCAGCATCAAAAAGGGATTGAAAATCCAGATTCCCAACCGAAATGGGGGCACCCGAGTTAAAGTCGAGCCGACCGAAATCAGGCGGTGTAGCCTGCGATCCACTGCCGAGGAGTTGGTCAAACTGATCCCATGTAAGGGACCATGATTGAGCCGGCTCCGGATGAGCAGCATGATGGATAGCCCGGTCCTCGATCTGGAGCGCCACGAACGGAACAGTAGGCGAAATCGATGAGGGCACCTGATTTGGAGGAACCTCAGCCTCTTCTAGAGGGGGTCCGTCCTCGATCTGGAGCACTGCCGCCGGGATAGGGGCCTCCGCATCCTCATCAAACACAACCTGAGAAAGGATCCAATCGTCCGTGATCACCCCGGGATTGGGTTCTGCGCCCAGCATCGGGGGAATGGGCCACAGCCGGCTGTCTAAGCCGGGGGCAGCAGGCGCGGCGTTGCCGCGAAGGGCGTTGGCCTCGTCGTCCACGAAGCCCGGCCCACGATGAGAAGCTCCGGGGGACGCCATTGCTCGTACAAGTAGGCGATGGGAGCAGGTAGCGGGTCACGTCCCGCAACCGGATCACCAGCCCCAGCTTCTAGCTGGTACGGCTGATAACCTGCGGTTTTGGGCGAACACGAAGTAGCCCAGGGAATCAAAGAGGTACACGTGGTTCACGAAGTACCAAAAGAACCCAGTCCCAAAGCACAATGTAGAGGGTGCCGGTGACCAGATTGTGGGAGTGACAGTTAATGAAGATCAAGTTTGGGGAGGTTAGGAAACTGGTAGAAGAAGGTAAAGACAAGGGTCGGGCCCGGGAGCACCTCGGCGACCTGCCGCCCACCTCCTAGTGCCGAACAGCTGGAACACCACGGACCTTTTCCGCGATGGCGCAGCCAATCGCCGCACTATGGCGAACGCACGCAAATCCAAGGAAGTCCCGACGGGGGATCCAAATCTTGAGCCAAACGGCCATTCGGCCGTTTTGCCACATGATGAAACAACACGTGAACAAAACACAAATACAAAAGCACTCTTTTCAGAATGGCAAGGGTATTGAACGAGTAACTCTACATATTTGCTTGATCCAATTCTCCGCAACAACACACAAAAGCTGCCTCAGCATGCTCCATTGCCATCGCGAGCACCTGTCAGCTTATCGCATTAGGTCTAATTTGTTGCGCTTGCCCGGCAGAACAGGTATAGCAAGGCATCTTCTTGTCTTCTTGGAGTCTAACCATGACAAACAGGTCATGCTGGGTCATTCGGACATTCATCTCAGCAAGCGCGACTATCTAACTCCTGTATTGGCAACTCCCACAATTAAAATGTCAGGGGCACAAAAATTCCTGGCCGGAAGCGCAGGCCTTCACCTTCACTCGTTTACCCAGGTTGCTGAAGTCCCTGCCAGCTCTAATGGCCATCTGTCACCAACCTGAACTCTTGAGCGCGAGCTCGCTCCCGATGGACCACTTTCCCTTTGGAAAAGGGGCCAGGGGACTAGGCTTGGTGCTGAGGTACAGGGGGCTAACTAGCTACATGATTGCCCCATGATCATGGGGTAACTTGGCTTACTAGGTACCCCACACCCCACAGTTCTTCTTGTTTAGGCCCTTGAAAATACAAAGGCGAACTCAAAAGTTCCTCTGATTCATCCGAGCTGCTGCATCCGTCTCCGCCTCCGGCTGCACTGGCGGCTCACGAGCTCGAGACACCAAGGTCTGGCGGGAGAAGCAAGCGACCAAGAGCTGCAGGGCCGGAAGTTGATTTGATGGTTTGAAGGTTGTGGTTAAAATGTGTTTTGGAGGAAACAAATCCAGAACGAAATCTAACCGTCCAACCGGCCTGGTGGGGGCCATGGAGCCCCTGCTTCTTTCCCGGAAGTTAATCTTATGTTCGTATGAGCCGAAAGAAAAAACATGCGGGCTGAGTCAGCAGCGCAAGTTCTGTGACAAGGAAACGAAATGCTGCACATGATTCAACGCATCGCTCAGGTCTTTGCGAGTGGCAGAGGAGCATCAAGAAATTTCGAAGCAAGCCAAGGGCCCCTAATTCGCCTTGGCCCCCAGGGCCGGGAAGTGGTCAGACCCCGACCCCCTTTGAAATGGATCTTTCCCCCGACCAAAATCCCGTCAAATCCCTCCAGACCGGACGAATTCCCTCCAAAAACCGGTCAAACTCCCTCTAGAAAGTGTGATCAAATCTCCGTCTAGAAACCAGTAAGACTTCCCGTCTAGAAACCAGTAAAATCCCTGTAAAGAACGGTCCAACTCTGGTCAAAGCTAGTGGTCAAGTCCCCCTAGAAACCAATCAAATTCCCCTTAAACCGGTCAAATTCCCCTTCAGGAACCAATCAAATCCCCCTAAAACCGTAGAAACCGGGGCCGCCATTCTGTAGCTCTCTGCGGCTCTGGCCGAGGCGGGCAACGCGAAGCGTTTACAATTGAGCCGTGCTAAATACTCTTGTGTAAAAAGCGGTCCTATAAACTTGCTTTCGCGGACCCTTTCGCGATGCTTTCGCGCCCCCATGTTTTGCTTTCGCGGGTTTTGGTTTCTTTAGAATTGCTTTCGCGACGCTTTCGCGGCGGACCGTCGCACAGCATGCAGGCTTTCGCGGGTCTTTCGCGGCGGGATCTTCTTTGGTTACTTTCGCGATAAGCTTTCGCAAGCTTTCGCGGCCTGCGTTGTGGCTTTCGCGGGGATTCTATAGGACACCCCCCTTTACTACTTTGTATTGTCAGGGCTTATGGCGCTGCTCAATTATTGCTAAGCAGGCTTCCAAGATGCATCGTGCTGCATCGTGCACTGCTTGTCTCTTGAGAGCCTAGGTGGTAACTCTACAACTGAAAGACTGAAACATCACCTCATTGCACAACACGTGTCTCCGGGGTTCTTTTCATGAGGTTGAGTTGCTAGTTGTTTTAGCATCAAAGTTGTCAATGCCATTCCCCACAACTTAAGCGGGGGAAAAAAATAAGCACACCTGTAATCTCCAAGGACTGAGATACACATCCTCAACCCACTGCACTGCAAGCTCTGCCGGCAACACCACCAGCTGCTCCTCGGAGCTCCGCCTCAGTCAGCTCTCTCACCGGAGGAGTTGGACTCACGGGCTCAGCTGGCCAAAGATCCCGGTTAGCCCCCTGTGAACATCCCAATCCAACCACTAAAATAGGTTCTAAAATGGGTGGTGCGCCAAAAATCCCCAAAATGGGATCCCATTGGTTTTGACCCACGGCCAGCTTAGATTTGGCTTTCAGGGCCTGAGAAATGGCGCAAGCTCGTCTGAAAGCTGAGCGCCGTAACTGCCAGGCTCGGAAGGGCTCGCGGAAGGACACGGGATGGCACACCTGAGGTCCCGGAAGCTCAACGCCTGGCCCCCAACCAGAAACCAGTGAAAAGAAGCGTCAGATTCAAGGGAAAGATCCATTGCGCGGAAGAGAGTCACAATGGCAAAGTGTCTTTGTGTCATAGTGGACAAGCTCAGGTTTTGATTGGTTGGCCTGTATCATGCATGATCAAGCCATTCCTGCGAGAAACGCCACCTGGGCAATTTGACATACACGTCTAATAGGGCAGCTACAGCAACACCAAACAGCAACAGGAACACCAAACAGCAACAGCAACAGCAACAACTGCAGCCGCACAAGAACCAAACGCAACAGAAACATCAAACAGAGCAACAGAAGAAAAAAAACACAACAAAAAAAACAACAAACACACAAACAAACAAACAAACAAACAAACAAACAAACAAACAAACAAACAAACAAACAAACAAACAAACACAAACAGCGACAAATGACGACACACGAGCGCAACATGGCGTGGGCAACTCATAAGCGCGGATACTGTTCATCAACCCATGTCTCTTCCGGACTAGACTCATTCCTCTCAACAGCAAATCATTGCTGAAGCAAGCACTTCAAGAAGAATGAGGCGCTCAGCATGCGTCTGAGCACCGGGCGGTGGCTAGAAAGCAGCCTCGGCTGGCCTCAAGGATCCAAGTACAGCATGTGGCTTTGTCTCCCTCCAAAGTGGTTGGTTTCCTTCAAGCCTCCCATGACAAACAAGCAAACAAGCTTCTCCAGCAAAGGACAGGGAGCAAAGTTCCTGCGGGTCTGGAATGGGATATTCCCGTGCCCTTGCCAGCGCCGAGATGCCGCAAGGAAGCTGCCAGCATAGCCTAAGAGCTCCACCAACTCCTGCACGCTTTGAGCACGTGGTCTTAATCGGGAACTAAGTCCGCTAACCCTTTTTGGAGGGTGTGACCCAATAAAATATTGCATGCAGGCAAAGATGGACAACAAAGATGGAAGACCACACCTTTCTTTGGTTCAGACCTTCTAAGCCAAGGCTACTGTCCAAACATCCACCTGTCGGTGCCCCTTAACAAGGGTCCGAGGCCTGGTCGAAGCCAACTTTGTTCACCAGGCCCCCGCTCTTCTATCCATCTCACCTCCAGCAGCGACTCTGCCGTGTCCAGCGCAAAGCCGGCCGGCCGCCGCGCCTGCCGGAGCGCGCACTATTCAGCGGGAGACCATCGGATTATGCTACCCTCTGCTCCAATCGGCTAAGCTGGAAGCTAGTGGGCATCATTTCGGTCAGAAGCAGGAACTTGTTGACATGACTGGCAATGCCGAAGGAAACAAAGTAGCGCTGGGCCTATGCTTAGTTGCTGATGGGTCCACGTTCCACCACAAAACATCTAACAACTCGACGACCTCTGTGGCCCGGGCAGCAGGTGGGTGGCAGATCTGCGCACACCGTCCCAGGCAGTACAAGTCTCAGCGGGCGCTCTTAGATTCATCACATGAGGGCATATGAATCATATCATATGAACATGCAACCTTGTCATGGAACCTTTTGCCAAACTCAAGCCTGCACCTACCTGGCGCACAAAGCAGCCACGCCCTGCGTTTTTCCTTCTGCGCGACCAAGCATCGCTGGCAAAGTGACCACCCCTCACACAATCAGTTGCTCAACCTTGCCGACCTTGCCAGCAACGTCCGCTTCGGCTTTGACAGTCCAATCGTCCTGCAGAAGCACAGGGAGGCAGTGCTTCCACAACACACAGCTTGCAACACAATGACGTGCATTGGTTCGTCTGAACATGTTGTCCCCACCTCCCCACAAAGAAACATGCAAATTGCCTTCCCTGCAAAACAACTCTGAAAAGGGTAGCCTCAGAAAAACAACACCCATGAAATCGGAAGAGCAAGATGCGTGCAGGCAGTGCGATTCTCTGCGCTGAAGCCAACATTGATGCCAGTGGTCTGCCAATCTCACGAAAACTATCTCCATTTTATCAACGCCGTCGAAGCAAACACCTCCTAAATGTTCTCTGAGCAAGGGAAAAGGATGATGCCTACGGTCAGGAGACTACTACTCTGAGCCAAAACGAAGGAATCCGGCCATCCGCATTCAAGAACGGAACATGTCGATGGACAGCACCATGAGCTGCGATACAAAGAGACTTTCAAAGGAAGCGTTTCATCGCGCCCCGTTTGGGCCTGTGGTTGATGAATGTGGGACTTACGTTATGGTGTTGTGGAGTGCCGAAACAAATGCGCACTTGAGTTCTTGTTAGTGCGCTTTGTGATTGCAATGAAATTGGCTAAAGTTTGCATAGCCAGTTGAAACATGTGTACCCATGGCCAAACACCCTGCCCCCCCTCCATCGAACAGTGTCCCTCAAGAACAGCTCATGCTCCCTCCGCGCCCATTCACCAGTTCACCTCACCCCACACATGCTCATCCCAGCCAAAACAACCGTTGCCGCTGAGGCACCACGGACTTGTCAAAGGCGTCATCGCTCATCCCCATGAGCTCCGTATCCGTTGGCAGGAAAGGTGCAAAGTTGCTGCCAGAGAGAAGGCGGTTCAGAAGGCCTCGGCTCTTTGATCAGGGGCCCATCGTGACTGCATAAAGACCTATTCTAGCGGTTAGGATGCCCAGTCCTCTCAACCACCGTTCCTTCAACCAAAAAGAAGAATCGCTGTGTCCATGCGAGGTTCTACTCAATTGACCGCAACTCACACGCATGTGTGCTTTCCCTGTGTGACTCCTGAATCATCAAAACCATTTGGCGCGTGGAGCAAACACGTCTAAAGCAACTGCGCAACCATTGTATCCGATTGGGCCGTTGATAGGAACCAAAGTCCCTATTGGCAAGCCCACTCCCTGCTGCGACCCTATCAAATCCGGTGAAACCCTATCCATCTCACCCAAAAGGATTTTTACCTCTCACGACCAGAACCCTCAAACCTTGGGAAGGACTCCCTTCGTGCGATTCAGAGAACTAGAACTCCTGACTCAATTTGATTCCTTCCTATCTCTCTAGCATCGCCGGGCAACGCTCTGCTGCTTGGGGCCGAAATTGCGGCACCTTGGGCCCCAGAGGCAACATGTACCGCGAGACTTGCAGAAATGCAGCAAAAACGCGCCTGACGTTGGCATTATTCTCGGTTGCGCTCTTGTGCCACTTGTTGGAGATGTGAAAAGTGCGACTGTGCTCCAGCATGTTTTGGTTGCCTTTCGTGGTGTATCTTCCTTTGCCAGTTTCAGACAGGCCGCTGCCCGCCAATGGGAAAACACTGCTCACAGATCGCTCAAAGCAGCTTGCTGTTAAGCCTATCAACCCACTGACTTAGAATGAGACCCTTCAAGGGGACATGCAGGCACATTTCCCAGCTAACTAGTGGCTTTGTTCTGCTTCTGGCCACCACCTGGCAAGTTGGAGGGCCCCTCTGAACTCATTCTGAGCAAATCCCATAATTTACCTAGCTACCCGAAGAAATTCCTGGATTTTTGGCAAGAAAGGAACTTGTCCATGAGTCGCAACCCCGTGAGATCGCCAAGCAAACTGTCCAAAAATGGGAAGTTTGTAGTGGTTTGGGCGGGTACTTTGGGTGGTCCCACTTTCTCATCCTCCCCCAAACCAACTGCACTCTACGAAGTAACATTGTGAGTGACTCTTGTGGCCTTCTTTGCTACCCTTTCGCTTGCTCAAAAGGACACCGAAAAGAATGCCAACCATTTTGTCACCCACAGATTCATCAGCCCGATGAACACAGGGTCACCAGTGAAGCATGCCTTCTCAAATGGGACACCTCCTTGTTTTCAACCCAGAAGTTCTTAACCCTGGATGCCCATTACCAATGCCATTACCCATTGACCGACACTAGAGTCACGGTCAAAATAAATAGTTTCCACAAAAGACGGGACAATCAGTGCTCGACCCCTGGTTGTGGGATTCTTCTGGAGCTCGTCCCCATCCCAAACGAAACCATCGAATCCTTCAGCGGTGCTCCCTACCTCCCCGAGCCCCCCGAGGGCCCCGGCCATGTGCCCGCTCCCGTGCACTGTGGCGAAGGAGAGGCCGTGCTCCTCGGCAACATCGAGCGCATCTGTTGACCCGGCAAGCGGCAACCAACCCGGCAAGCACGTTTACCGCTCTTTCGTTCTTTTTTTGTAGGGGGGAAACCCGAATGAAACCCATTTTGGGTCCCAATCCCATTTGAAGACCTCAGCTTCCAACAAAACGCGCCGAAACCGCGGCCGCCTAGTTTCTCCAAGGCGCGTAGTTCACCACGTGGCCGCCGAACTGCGCGCCGGCATCCCGGAGCTCCAGGTTTGGCCCGAAGAGGTTCGGCTTCCTAAACGATTCACGTCTCTAGCCTACCATTTGAAAAAAGTGGGCTGAAGCCCCCAAAATTGGCTGGCTTCTTTTTGGCTTGTCTTTGTCAAACAACACAAAAAGGGTACCAGCGAATGCGGGGGTCTCAAAGTAGAGAACCCTTTTTGGACGGGCTAAAGGAAAAGACAAACCTTAACCAGCCATCTAGACACCCAAACGTCCGGCCCCTGATCTGGTGTTCCAACATTTATCTGTTCTTCTCCGTGAGGGTGGGGCGCTCGCAAGACACCCACTCCACAGGAGTGAGCAAGCAATTACTGTCATTGTGTCTTCTTTCACCATGCTACGGTTCAGATGTCTTTCGCGTTTTGCCACTTCACAACTCAATGGTCAATGTGTCGGGAACACAAACGAAGCTCAAGACCTTCCGCAAGCAATGTGTCTTGGATCTTCTGCGGCGCGGCTGCAACAGTTCAATGACTTCCCCCCAATCTACAGCCCTCAGAATTTCATTGTGCCCTTCCCTCACTTGGAGCCAGGGATGCAGCATCTGTCAAAGCAGAGTTGTGCATCAAACAAGAAGCTTCTGCAACGTGTCGATGGAGGCCGCAGACTTGTTGTAGAACCAAGGCCGGTAGTTGCCTAGACGTCTGTCCAGCCGACTCCCTTCAGCCCTGAACCCCGGTTTTAAGTGTGCCACCACCCGGCAGGATCGCAAAGTTCACCTTCTCGATGGCATTGCGGGTGCCCTCGTAGGAGACGCACGGATCCGTGTCTCCGTTGAACACCTTGGTTTGCATGCCAGTTCAAGCACGAGTCGCGGCTTGCAAAGCTACATGTGTAAACCCTCGTGCGGGAAAGCACAACTCACGGCACTTGCCTCCCAAGCCATTGCTTCCCTGTCCCGCTGCCTCGCTGCCCTGCTTTATCTTTATTTGCTTCAGGCACAATGGTGGTCCGCATCTTGGGGGCGATGTAGCGATAGAAGTCCACCATGCTGGCCTTGCCCGGGGCGTTGTTGCAGGCGTTCCAGCTGCTGGTGTACTGCCACCCATCCGCCGGGCCAGGCCACGACTTCACCGGGGCCTCCTCCACGTGCAAGGCCTGGCTGCTTCGAACCGCTCCACATCGACTCAAACATGTATGCCTGTCGGCTGGTCTATGACTCACACAGCATAGAAAGCCCAAATCGTCCCAACTCGAAATGAAAGCTCCAAGCTAGATCCATTGAAGGCTTTTGGGAAGGCAATTCCAGGCAATGCCTTGAAAGTCGAGCTTGTCCGACCCTCGCATTTGCAAGCGGCTCTCTCTCGTTGCCTTCTTGACATCCGGGCGGTTCATCCAGTGCGAGGTGTAGTAGTCCAGGGTCTTGGGGGCCTTCCAGTCCAGCACGGAGGCGTCCGAGAAGAGCGACAGCTCGTTGATGTAGGCCTTGGGCCAGCTTTGCGAGATGCCCCGCGAGGACGTCGCCAGGAAGCGGCGGTACGCCAACTTGCACTCGCCCTTCAGGTCCCCCTGCGATGCTGCGATGGGGGGGAGGACTTGGTGTTTTCATCCAAGGCCCAGAGGCAACCCCGGGCTGAATGCAGTTGTGGCCGCCGCAAAGCAACGCGGCAACTTGAACCAAGCCTGCAGAGACTCGCGCACAGCCCACTTGCCCGCTTCGCGGCGCCACGCGCCCTGGGTGAGGAGCGATGGATGCCTCTCAGGAATCGGAGCGTTGGTTCGGCACGAGAACGCCAAAACTAAACCACTGCAAGATCGGCAACATCTGCACTGTCAATGGTCTCCTCTCCTTAATAACCCCCAAACTCTCCTAGGGCTCAATGCCCGAAACAAAGGAAGCGTTCTCCAGGCAAATCCACACGAGAATCCACAGAAAGCGGCGCTCCTCATGGAGCAGTTGTTCCACAGGAAGTCGAAGTCTCCATCCGGGATGAAGCCGTGCTTGTGCGCGTACCAAAGCCTCGGGCAGACAGGATGCGGCATGGGCCCAAGCCCAGGGAGACAAATTGCCCATGCCCATCTGCCAAATACAGTCAAGAAGACCTCAAAGAGCAACTGACGCCTTGCCGAGCCGCATGTCCATCGACTCATGCTGAGATGGATAGTCCGTGCAGGGATCGCCCACTGCAATTCCTGAGGGCAAGTGTCTGCAGCTCCAACTGTCTGCCTGCCTCCTGCCAAAGGTTCAGACGAGGCGCCTGTCCTCGGCTCTTCCGAAGTATTACATGCATGAAATGTCGCGTCCAGTTCAAGTCAAGCGGCATCTTGATCTCCTTTGCATTCTCCAGAATCTCACGCGTGAGGGTGGGAATGTACACCTCAAACCGTCTTCTTCTCCAGACCTGCCTAAAGCCTTGCCACTCGCAAAGGAAGTTGCCACCAAGCAGCCCCAGCGTACGACTCACCTCGCGGAAACGTGGGTTTCTGGGCACCGGGAGGGATGGGCTGGTTGAGACAGGCCTTCAACGATCAGCTGCCGCCCCAAACCGCTGTGCTGTTGGAGTGCCTTTGTCTCTGGTGTCAACATCCTCATGGCGCATTTCAGGAAGTCCCCGGATTCGTCCAAACCCTCGAGCCCTCAGCCCTGTTTGGCCTGTGATAAAGAACTCGTTGTCCTTGAACTCCGGAAACCTGAGCTACGAGAGCGCACACTCCGCCCGAAACCTGGGCGACCCCTCATGACATAGTTAGCCAAGGTTGGCCTCGCCGGGCCAGATCGAGGCTGGCGCAAGGTCCAAAACGGTGTGTTTTTCCTGTTTGGGAGAAGGATCGTATCCCGCGGCACCCAGGCAAAGCTCACATCGTTGTCCTAATTTGCGCACTGATGAATCTGCCATTTGAGAGCGTCTCAGGACTTGGCTGGTTGCATTTTGGCTCTCCCTCCCCTTCAACACAACCCCAAAAGGCACTCAAGGACATCAAGGATATGTGTGTGGAAGGCGTCTTCAAGGAAGGTCAAAAGGAATTTGGGACGTACCTTCCCCACCTTTCGCCAGGCAGCTTCACAAAGAAGTCCTGCAGCGCAGCCCGGGCCGCGGCGGCCGTAGTGACGTCGGTGTTGTTGCAGTTGCCGCCCGTCTGGCAGCGGATTGTAGTTTGGGCATGAGCATAAGAGGATGATGTGTGTATTTGTTCGGCCCATGATCCAGAAGTGTTGGAAGTACAACTTAAGCGTTGCATGCCGGCCCGCTCCGAACGCGGTCAGTTGGGTCAATCTGCCAATAGGTTTCGGCGGCGCTGACAGCTTCGTGGAGGGTTCGCGGCTTCCAGCGAGCTTCCGAGGCTGGGAATGCTCGGGCTCACTAAACAAAGATGACTGCCGAATTTAACCCCGGAGCCAAGGCAAGACAAGCCCACACAAGTTGCTGTGTAAACATACTCTGGGTTGATCAAAAGGTCCTCTACATGGGACGACCCTTGGGGAAATCACTTCAAAGATATGACGTTTCCCGCTACATGGGCAAAGTGACCCATGGCCACTTGGGGGCACTATAAATGGAGTATTGATCAACCCCCATGTCATGACACGCATCCAGCCACATCTCCCATTCCGTCAACTCCCCGCCCCCCGCCCAAAAAGCGGCGCACATCGCTCCGCTCCGCCGCCTTCATGGCGGCGCAGAAGGAGTAGCCCACGCCACCGGGGCCTGAAGCAAGGGGCGCTGAGCATGGGCGTCCTTTAAGGGGAAATAGATGGCCCTGATGGATGATTAAACCACCAAGTAAACCAGGGCCGTCCATTTTTCTACCAAAACAACCAAAAAGCACACCTAGGAACATCAAAGCCAGGCTGTCCTCAGATCCGCCAAAAAATGTTTGACTTTTAGTGGGTGAAATGGAAATCCCCACCAAACACGAAAAGGCTGAAAAGCTCTAGTAGGATGGCTGGCAAGAACAGGAAACGATTGCCACTTTCGGGGTAGCCTAAAACATGGTAACACGGATACGAAGACCCTCTGTCAATTGTTCACGAGCCCTGTGAAATACCACGCATTGCCGTTCGTGCCTGAGCAGTGTTTGCGGCGAAAAATGTGTTTCTTTTAGCCGCCCCAGTATTGTACTCCTTCTTGCATCCGCGAGCGATCATGCAGCATAACAAAGAAAACAATCCCCCACCCCACCCCTCGCAGGGCCGACCTGGGACAGGAGCCTGTTTGCCTTCGGGTAGCACAAAGCCATCACCCACCTGTGTTTGATTTACATGTTGATCTCCATGCAACCGTTTGGTTCAAGGCCCCTCTTCTACTCTTTGTTGCCCTGTACATACCATACACGTACAAGCAGAGAAAAGGGACTACTTGCGGACCGCTTTACAGGTTATGCCCACAAGACAATCCTACCAGGGACTTCCAGATACACTCCATTTACCATTGACAGAGTGATCATTGTGTGGAATAGATCCAGGGACCTACAATATACCATTACCACAAGGTACCTGTACCCTGGTTTGGGCCTCACCCCCCCCGCGCTTTTCCGGACCCCCCAAATGTGAAAACCTCCCCAGGGTCCGAAGATCCGTGTCACCAAAAATGCCACATGATTGTGGCCTAACAACGGCGGAACATCCAAAGATTGCCCTACATCCCAAGCGACTATGAAAGTCAGCCACCATTATTGACAACGAGTATATCGCATTTGTCTCGCAAAATTGAAGCAACGTCCACTTATATACCCAAGAAGGCCGCAACACCGCAGCGACTTCCCGCATGAGTTAACAAAACGCAACGACTTCTGAAACAAAGTGTAGGGGTCCACCTTTCAGTTGGGAACGCGAAGACAGCACCTCCCAGATTGCAATTGTCCCTTTGTATGCTTCTTTCAGGGCCTGTTTGGACAGAGTTCCAAGCGTGAAAGCTGTCCATGAAAGAACATCTGCACTGTTTCGGCAAGACACAAGGGGACACTAACGGAAACCTCATGACATTACATACGTTGTTCCAATAACTACTTGAACATGTGTCTGAACGCAAATCTGCATGGGGACACCTCATCCTTCACACAAGCCCGGGCGACTTAACACAAGCACCCAGTATGGCAACTGCTTCCCTGGTCTTTCCAAGGTTATCAGCACAAGCCAATTGCGCTTAGGCGGGCGGCTCTCGAGGATCAAGAGGTTGGCCTGCTTGGTCCAGCTGTACGGATTTCTCATCAGGCCCCCGTCCGCGCTGATGAGCAATGGACCCTGTTCCTGCAAGCCAAGATGAACCCAAGCCAAGAGCACAGTGCACCCCCCCTCCCCACCGCCGCCTCGGAAAACAAGGGAAGAGGACAAAGGCTGCAAGCCATGGGGAGGCAAGCATGAAGGTTTGTCTCAAAATTCAGGCACCCTTGCAATGGGTGCTTGTGCTTTGGTTTCCCTCAACCGCCAACCTAAAGACGCCCCGTGCACTTCTCGGTGACTGGGAGCTGAAGCTCGTCGCCTGCAACATGCCGAGGATTGAGCTGCTGCCGGGCCCGCCGTTCCTGGCACGGGCTCACTGAGGCCGCGAGCCAAACTTAAGCCGCTGGAAGTCCGCGAGTTTCAACCAGGCTGACAAAAGAACACCTGGCTGTGGCTCAAGCAAATGTACCAGCAACGGCAGGTAAGGTAACTGGAACCAAAGACTAAAACCTGCGTAACCCCAGCTCTTGAATTCTGAGCCACCCCCTATGGCAAGGCTGCGTGGGGGTGCCTTCTGGAAGCACGGCCTTCTCAGGACCCGGTCAATGCCAAGACTCAGCCACAGGACTACTGGGAGCTTCGGTGCTTGCTGCTCATCATCCGCAAAGGCAAGCCAGTAGTGAAGCTTCGTCCCAGGCTCCTCAGACGTTGTGACTGAGGAGAGCCTTCCCCGGACGAGTATGGCGTCATGGGTTCTCCTTTTTCACCATGCTAATGGTGCTGAATGAAAGCCATACTGATACTGGAAACCCAAAAAACCCAACTTCCCTCACTCTTCCCCTCCCCTGCCCCGCAGCGGGCAGGACTGCAAAAGAATTCTACGTGAGCAGATTCACGCTGCGTATCCCCCAAGTCCTCTCAAACTCCAAAATGTCCCGTACATTCATTCGACTTCTTAGTTTCTTTGCTGGGATAATTACCTCCCACATCCCCCCTTCCCCAGCTTCCCTTTTTCCGGCCCAGGTGCGGCTGCGCCGGCGTCCAGGTACCCCGAGTACTGCGGGGCGGGGGGCTTTCCGAAGCCTGGAAGATCCAGCACCTCGCGAAGGCGTGGAACGGCTGGGAAGTTCGCGGAAAGTGGCGCAGTGTCCGGCCACAAGCGGGGTGATTTGGACATGGTTGGCGGACCATGTCACTTCAAGGGCGGCACAAAGTTGGCATCCCGGAAATGAGTTCCCAAGTCTTTGAATCATCTTCAACAGGACTATCCTCGAGGGTTCTCATCAACCATTGCAACTCCAGGTTGGACCTCTCTTGGCCCCAGGCCGCTTCATCTGCAGGTGCCGCGGAGGCAATGCCGACAAAGGCGGCAAGGAGTGGCAGGCTCATGGCGGGCATGTTTCTCAGCTTCAGGCGCCAGTCGCAGCTGCAGTCGAAATGGTGGCGCGGCGTGTCCAAAACCATACCTTGACGAACATGTGGGCGCGATTGCCTCGCCTTGATGCGAGTTGACGACAAGTCGTCAAAATTATGTCGAGTATGGCACCGAATGCGTTTTGAGGCTGAACTCCCAAGATGCTTTGTGTTCACAGGGAAATATGATATTCCTTCTTTGCCTCCCGTGACTTTGGTTACTGCGAATGCCCCACGGCTTTTGCCTTCGGAAAACCTCGCTCAGCTTGGCAAATAGTAGAGAAAGGTCGCAATCGAGTCGATAACACAATTGATCCAGAATGCCCCCATGTCCCTCCCAAGTGAACCATGGACTGCAAGAAATGTTTGAGCAAACCTATAGGGTTTTCTGCAAATAAACGGCCCCCCAAAAGAGCAACGGCGTCCGCGGCGTCCCTTGGAAAATTCGGTCCATTGCTTTAAGAAGAGAAACTCCCCTATTCTCACTCTTGGCGCCCAAGCTGGCCATCCTGCCGCGCCATCGCCCACGCGGCGATGGACAATTGGAATTCAGATCGAGGAGTCTGGATGGTCCAAGCTGTTCCTTGGTCTCATGGCAATGACCTGGCATTACGATCTGTAGTGTGAGCAAGGCTCAAGTACGCCACAAGTTTGGCAAGTTGCGGCTGTCCACTCAAGTCCTGATGTGTTTTGTTTGTTTGTGTTTTTCTTTGGGCGTCCCCTAAATGTCCTTGCACACCTGTGCGGAACCTCCTGATGGATCCCAAGTATCTGGGCATGGCAATGATTGTTTGCTCCTTTCGATGTTGATGTTCTGCTGCCACTATTGATGGTGCAGTGGTTGTTGCTGTTGCTGCGCCGACGCGTGTCTGCGGCTGCCTTTTCCGAGACCAGGAAAAAATCTGAATCCAGTCTGCTCTCTCAGCCGAATCGGTGCCTGCAGATACGGCGAGAAGCTCGCAGGCCTTACTGTAAGCTGACATCCCATGTGTGTGTGTGTGTGTGGGCAGATGTTCCTTGTCGGTGCAAGTGCGTCGCTGGAGTCAGCTTCTCGGGGAAAAAACAACGCCTTGAACTGAATGAAATGCAACGCCAGCTGCTCCTAAAGCCTGGCTTTGCTTGAGATCAAAACCCACACCTCGTGTGCCCAAGCGCAGTCAGGGGATCAGAGACCAAGAAACCCCTCAATCCGAACAGTGCCTCGCTGGCAGATGCTTCTCCTGCGAGGCGCCGGCATCCACTTGGGACGGAAGCTTCACTTGCTTTACCTTCAACGCAACACTGGCCGCCCCGCCAAAAAACGGTCTTGCTAAGCTGCCGTAAGTTAAAACAATTGTCTGATTAGGTTTACCAGCTGAGAAAACTGCCAACAAGGTGGAGTTCATGGTTGAGAATCTGGCTCATGAGGCATGGGTGTGTCTCTGGACGGGCGAACATCGGAATGTGCGGTTTGGTGCACCTTAGCCTGAGCCACACCCCGCACAGCCCTGCCTGTTTGGCCCCACACGCCTGGCATGTGACTCACAGCGAATTCAATATGTGCGCAGCACGGCACCAAGCCAATCCTGGTTAGCACATGCCATCGATCGCTTGGTTGCCAATAGTGGCAGCGGCGTTGTGGACACGTCTTTGCTAAATCGCAATGATGTGGGTGCGTCCTTTTTGGTGGTACTCTTTTTTGGGTTGCGGAAGCCAAAAAGGAAACAAAGCCACTTGGAGGGGTCGCTCATTTGGAGAAATACCCATACAGGACTGCATGCTTTCCACGATCCTACCTTTCCAAAGCCAGCCAAGCGACAGCACCCCTTCATCAAGCGCGCATCTCTCAAAGCTATCTCCAAAATATCTTCAGGTCCTCAAGCTCCCTCAGACTGTTTCACAGCCCTGCTGCTTTGTGGCAGGGAGGGGGGGTACCCAAGTTCACTGATCGAATCTTACCCACAAAGGGAAGATGGAATGGGTTTGAGTGTCTAAATCACGGAAACGCAAAACGAGGATGCTTTTCCTTTGGCTTCGCTTCAGACAAATCCAAAAAGGGTAACAACTTCAAAAAAACACGCTGACTCGAAGAGTTTTCAAGGGCAACTTTAGGGGGGGGGAGTAGCTTTAAAGAGAAACCAAAAAAGCAATTTGATTGTCAATCTGGGATGTCTCCAATCTTGGCACGTGCCGCGAACCATTCAAAAGCGTCAAGCTTAGGCGCAAACCTTTGAGGCCGGCAAACAAGAGGAACCCAGCCACCGGAGCCTTCAAAGCCTTTGGTTCATGTCCTGCATCAAGTCTCTTGACCACGCCGCTTCGTCTCCCCACGTCCCTCTGTCCCTGGGTCCCTGGGTCCCTCGGTCCCTCGGTCCCGGCGCCTGACATGATGCGCCGCTGCGTCTGCCGTGCCCCTGCCATGCCCTCGGAGGCGAAGGCCTCCAAGATGGCCTCAAGCCGGCGAGCGCCTCGTTGGGGTCCTTTCACCCTTGTCCTTTGAAGAAACATGCTTATCTTTATATATGGTTTATTTCATTTTCTGTTAAGTGAATAAAACAAACATGGGTGCCAAACCAGTCAAATCCATCCATGTTCAACCAGATTGACCCTCTGAAGAGGAGGTGATTGCGAACGGCTCTCCCGGCCGAATGTGCGCTCAAGCCTGTCTTGATATGCTTGAGCGCAAATGTCATTGGCAGGGCATTCTTGCAGGGCATGTGAGCGAACCAGCCGAGCCTGGCCATCAGCCTCGGCCTTGCCCCGCGCAGCCTGAGGCCCAACATCACAAAGTCTGACCTAGAGTTGTTTCCAGGGGAAAACCCAACAACAAACGACCGGATAACCCTCACATGCGTTCCTTTCACGAAAGCCGTAAGCACATGCAAGTGAGTGAGTCTTTGTGTCAGTGAGGGTCACTTGCCCAAACATGTGGAGGAAGCATGGGTTCCACGGCACGAGAAACCGTTCATATCTTTGAGCGTGTTCGGGGAGGCTTGCCGGACAAACAAAATGACACGCTGTCTGGAAGTTGGCAAGCTCACCCCCCAGCCCCGCCTGCCAGCAGCCAGTGACCTCCAACCGCTTCTGCCCTCAGCCGCTTGGCAACGCAACATGGACCGCTGCTCCAAGGCTGGCTGAGCGGAAGGCTCCGGACAGCCCAGCGCCCAAATTCTAGAGCGTCGGTTTCAAGTTGGTGACCTTTTGTTCATCGCCTTCGCATTTTCGTCTTCGCCTACCCCACAGAACAGGGACCTCCCTCCTGCGTCAATGCATGTGTGCTTGTGTATATATACGTGTATATATGCATTTATCTGTCTTTCTGTGTGTATATATATATATTTACTTAGTCAGCTATCTACTTACTTACATATAGATATCAGCTTGGTCCAAGAGGTGGAAAAGTCGCCTCGACCCAACTCCGCTGATCCACCTGCCTTGAGGTTCCCTGACACGTAGCCCTTGAACTAGCTCGGCGAGCCCGGCCCGCGCACTTCGCTCAGCCCAGCATTTACACCCACGCCTCTTCCTTGGCTGGCCACCGCCGCTGCCCGGCACCAGTCTTGGCTTGCAGTCTTCTGCTAGCGGCCTCCGTCCTACGCGAATGTTCTGAAAATCCTTGCGCGCCCAGCGCCGAAATCAAAAGATCATCCGAAGACCCAAGTCACGCTGCGGCCACACGCTAGCCAGCCGCAGCCCTTACTCTTCTCCATTTCTAGCTCCTGAACCTGCACCGCCCTTTGCACCCACTGCGTGGCCTTGGACAAACAGCTGGCTAGTGGGCCCAGCCCTTGCCCCAGTCTTCAGCCAGCCTGACGCCACACGACAGCTGTCCACGCCTTCACGCAACACGCACTCGGAACAGAGGCGCCATCGCCGTTTGAGTTTTAAGTTCCTGCCCGGCATCATTTTCTCTGGCTTGCATCGCTCTTCTGGTGT